AATTTTCTTAGCAAATTCTTGCTCCTTTCAACCCTTTCTTCCATCCTGTACTTGGACCAGAATGAGACCACAAACAATGGTTCTAGTTTTGAGTCAAAGAAAAGCACGCACTTCATAAGAACTAGTACACAAGGGAAAACAAAGACTATTCCAATCTGTTAAAGCTCCAAACCATCATAGACTGACTTTGCATTTATACAATAAATGTATTATGTATCGTATTGTGATAATTAAAAAATAAAGAACACAATGTATTAGTTTTTAGTTCAAAGAAAATTAACAAGCTTCTTGTATTGCATTCCTTAAGCCCAAACAAACTGAGAATAGACAAATGCAATGGTAAACAGCTTTGATGACATTTCTAAATCATAATAACTATCTGGAACCTATATATTGAAAGCCCATAGTGTCATTGGTACTAGATGTTAAATGCCATAGCTTGCAGTTCTTCCTGGCCTTCTATTTGTATCTAGCTATTCAGTGTGAAAATAAGAAACTGGACTAGATGAACATAATCCAGCAGGTCTCATTTTCTCTTTCTCTATACATTCACATCGATACACACAAGAATAGTAAAACTTCTTCAAAGGTAAGCAGGTGTTTAGTTTACTCTCAGAGGAAGTACATCCTGTGATGTTTTCCTCTTTGCCTATAATGATAGCAACAGCACTTAGACTTATATACCACTTCAAAGTGCTATACTGCCCTCTCTAAGCAGTATACAGAGTCACATATTGCCCCCTGGGTCCTCATTTTACCAACTCGGAAGGATGGAAGGCTGAGTCAACCTTGAGCTGGTGAGAATCGAACTGCTGGCAATCGGCAGAATTAACCTCCAATACTGCATTCTAACCAGTGCACTACTATGGCTTATGATCCACATCAATCATACCAGAAAGACAAAACTGAATTGATATGGACAGTCCTTGCTTCTGAAACAACAGGGACAACCACTTATACACTTATAGTTAGAAAAAAATAAAAAACTAACATTGTTTTCATTCTTCCTATTCTTCTTGCAGAGAGGCATTAAGACATTTCCCAAAAACAAGACAAGAGAAGAAATGAGGAGAAGGTGATGCTGCAACATATCAAACAGCAGCAGTAGTGGATCCAAAAGATGAGAAAGAGAAAAAAAAGTAGAATATGATGTACATGGAATTTGTCTTTTCTGCTTAACAATGTTGTATGTTTGATTTGTAAATCATATTTAATGCATTAAGCCCCCCAAAATAATTTTTAAACCATATTAACCTTAATAACACCATCCCTATGTGTTCTTATTTTTTTCCTTTCAAATTACAAATTAAACAGTACTGGTATCTGTGTTGAAAGATACAAAAATTGACTGCAGTTTTACGAAAAGTTTCAAAGAAAATAAAGCACTAAAAAAGAAAGATTGATTTTTCAGATTGAAAGCACTGGACCAACAAGGTTACAAACTAGAATCAACTGAACATCACTTCCAATTATAATCCAGGAGTTATCAAAATCACTTGTTGAAGTTCCCAAATTAGACTACAGAAGGGTAAACAGATTCACAATACCGCTTTATCCATTTTATTTCTAAAATAGCTTCTTAGACACTTAGTATTCCAGAAAGGATGCCCTCAGGGTGACAAGAATCATAGGTCCTATTTCCTTTGCTTCATTACAATTCTCTTTCATAACAAAAAGTATTTCAGGATCACAGCAAACTGTTTTAGCAACATAAATATGCTCAAAAGTGAAAGTCCACCAATAAATATTATATTGTATAAAACAGTCTTAAAATGATGTCAAAGGACATTTAGATACACAATGTAGGTATTCAAAACAATGTCAATATTTTCAAGCTAAATGTGCCTAAGGGCATTAATCTGTATGCTGATAAAATTCAGTGTTGTTCACACCTGAACTTTCATATTTCATAACAATAACATATAAAGAAGTCCTTTCAAACTACAGATGGGAAAAAATACTTCTTAACAGTTATCTCAGATAAAAATGTTCTTTAAAATACAAGCCATTCTTATATTAATCTGGGATTTATTACACTTGGGTTAACCAAACAAAGTTTATGTACTGTGTGAAATGGCTATTTTAGACTTAAGCATGTTCTAACAATGTAAATGAGCAACACATTCATAATTTATCACATGTTTCATTTGTATCTTAACATTTCTTTAAGGAGTTCAATGTGGTATAAAACCCACATTGGCTTTTCTGAAGAAATGGATTTATAGTAGGTTAATATTCTCTATGCTATACTTATTACTTATTATGGTCATGCTTATTACTTGATCCACACATTATTTTGCAAAGCATGAGATGGAAGTTAATGTAAATTTAAGAATTCTTCAACTGATTATTAAGCATCCCTAATGGATAATGTAACTTAGCTGAATCCATATTGTATTATAAATACTGCTTGTTATACTCTGCTAACTAGAAGCAGCAATTTACCTTTGACTTGTCATATTTTATTATATTTTTTCCATTGTCACACTCCTTCCCAACTCATCTGCATCCTATTGATTTCTTCTTTTCTTTAGTAAAGCAAAAATTTTCTAGTTCTTTGCTGTTATTTTTTTAATCCACACAGTTAAATCTTTTAACAAAATAATTAGTTTGAGGCTCAATAAAATAGTTCACCTGTCATAATGGGATTATTTTTTTCTCCAATTGCCTTTTAAACAATTTAATTATGGGGAAATGTTCAAGATTTAATACAGTTTGACATCCATAGCAGTTTGACATCCATATAGTAGAAGACAAAATTCTTATATTATACAAAATGGATGAGATGAAATCATACAATAGATGAGCCCCCTAAGAATTTGGTTAAAGAATAATATTGGTTAAAGAAAGCTTTCCTTCTTTTATAGCGTAATGGGGGAGGGGGGGGGAAATGCTCAAAGATTGTGCAAAAAACAATAGGAATAAGCTATTTGTGGAGGACAATGGAAATAGCTAAGGTGGATAGTTAAAACTCACCTCATTCACATCTAAATTAAATATGGAACATTTAAATGTTTATATTACTTATTTTCTACAGCCAGTATAATAGTTTGCTATTTTAGGCATTTCAACAGTTCCCAAAGGTCTATTTAAATTATTTTTTTATTTCCTCTATATATTGAAAATACTAAAAACAGAGCACAGTTTTAAAAAATATGCAATTAATTATCACTACATAGTTAGTAATTGCACAAAATTTAACAATTTGGTCCATCAAATCCTAATTACTGAATTTATAATGAAATGAAAAATCTGGTTGAAATGTTTCTAAGCTACAAAATATTCAAATGCATTAAATCTTTTTCAGTTTACAACATACTGTTAGCTCTAGCGGTTAATAGAAAAAACAAACAAACAAGCAAACAAATAAATGCTACTGCAGTGTATCACTTCAAATTCCAGATGGCAAAAGGCTAGGGATGTAATATTAAAGGAAACAAGGAGAAAGAGTATTTAGTATATGATTATACAAATTATTTATTTATTTTCATTTAATCTTGCTTTTTTTAAAAAAAGAAAAGATTGCCTTAAATTTAGGACTGCTACTTTCGGGGTGTCTATAACATTTCAAAATAAACATACATAGGGATTAGGCCAGTGATGGTGAAACTTTTAGAGACTGAGTGCCCAAACTGCAACCAAAAACCCACTTATGCATCGACGAGTGCCAGGTGGGAGTGGCCCATTGGGTGGCTGCGGTGGTAATGGCAGACTGGGTGGGACTAAAAAGTTCAATCAATTCCAACTTTGCAAGATCTTTTTCTTCCACTGAGAAGTTGAAATTGACTGATTGAACTTTTTTTTTTTTTTTTTTGCACACAGCGGTGAAGGCCTAAAGTGAAAAGGTTTTATAAAACTCAGCTGAAGGCCTAGGACTGGGGTGATGGCACGCGTGCCCACAGAGAGGACTCTGAGTGCCGCCTCTGGCACCCGTGCCATAGGTTCGCCACCACTGGATTAGGCTATATATCCTATTAAAACCTGTTGTATCAATTTTAAGCAAACATCCTTCAGACAAAAACTGCCTGCCAATTTACCATTAATAATCTTCTAAATATCATAGTTTGATGTATGTGTAAAAACAAATGTACAGAAACAGTTCATTATCAATGATATATACATAATAAATGTTGTGTTCCAATCCCATAGCTTTTATTGTTAAACTATACATTATGGGTCTGTATACTGAAGGGTTCCATTTATTTCCATACTCATGAAAAAGTTATACATTATTCTGATATATGTCATCAGAAAATAATCCATAATCTCAATATTCCATGGAAATACATCAATATGGCTTTACCATGAACAAGAAAACAAATTTAAGGAGATAATCTCACATACACACTGAGAGCGTAATCCATTGGAAGCCTTTCCTACATAACAATACTGAAGCTCCAGAGGAAAGCTTGCTCTATGCAACTTCCACACAACTTAGCAGAGGTTTTTGGGGAAAATAAATGTTACTTGTAATATTTTGGAGAGTGCCCCAGACACCTTAAAATTGAACTTGCATAATCCTGATGCACTGAACACTGCAAATCTTAAAGTTATATGTAAAGGGGGGAAATTTGACTGAACCAAGCTGAAACTATTTAACTTACAGCATGGAGAAAGACAAAGATCAGTTTTACTTTAAACCAAGTATGTTTTAATAGAGAAGCACGTCACTTCTATGTTTTTTGTTTTTTAATGCCAAACTGAATGACTTGGGTATATAGGTAAAAGGGTGTTCGTAAATTAATATGGTCCTCCATTTCTCCAATGAAAGCAAAGAAAAGCAGAAAACCTAAATGTAATAGTTGAGCTAATTCCAAAATTACAGATCTAAATTAAAATAGCACTGGAAACACTCTTAAATTTTCCCATAAAAATACATTAGGATAAATATGGCTTTCTAAAACAAAACAGCAAACATCTTTGTTTTCATTCCCATCTAGTTAATTCATGTCTAGCTGCATTACTGCAAATATATTTCACAATAGTTTAAGAGTACCCACCCCTTGCTGACAGCTTTTTAGTGTTGATAATTTTGGCAGCATATTCTTGTGCTGTAGTGATTTTCATGCATCTTCTCACCACTGAGAAAGCTCCCCTGGAAATCAATAAACAAGAGTAACATAAATGCCAATTTTGGGTAGGCTACTTAACCATCTAATAATCTGAACAGTGTCAAGAAACAAGACATTTTTTTTCTTAAAAAAATACTGCCTTATTTGGGTTTGCAGCAGTGGATTTAAACTGTATGGAAAAGGTATCTTCTTCAAATATATTGAATGCATGCACGTACTGTTGCAAGTGGCTACCTTAACACCAGAATTGTGTGAATTTTTCACACCCATTTTGTATTTTTACTGTGCTTTGATTCAAAGATATGAGCGAATATATTTTTTGCAGGGAATAATGTTCTTACATTTTATCCGTTTTCCTCCTCAGATATAACAACCAAAACACCCATTCTATTTATTTAAGCTCAAGCCTCTATGGAGTGGCCTGGATGCCATAAATCTCACTACCTGCAGTTTTAAGCACGAGCATTCATGTGCAATTCCCTTGCAGAGCGAGCACGGAAATTAGGCAGTTCTTTATGACAGGCTCCCAACGCTAATACTCCGCCTGCCATTGGTCAAGCATTTTCAAGTCGTTTATATAACAGACTTAACATAGAACTGAATTGATAGATATTTTTGCGGGGGTAAGGAAATACAGTAATAAAAAGCAAGAGGCGGAGCCCGCTGATTTAACTCTAAATTACAATCTTCGCCTGAAGAAAATGCACCTTTGGGTTACATTTCCTGATACTTAAACGTGGGTCAAGCCTCCTGCCGCCCACGTTTCTTTTCGATTGCGGTCGTTCGAACGGACGTCCGAATACAAGCCACCCACGCTGCCCAAGGGCCAATTTCGTCATCGGTGGTTCTCCCAGGATCATGTGTCCCCTCCACTTTACGAGAGGCGGGCAAGGTGGAAAATCCCGCGTCAGAATCTTGTTTCCGACAAGACCGATCGCTGCAAGAGCTTACACCCCGCGTAAGAAACCAAGAGCGGGAAGACCTGCTACGACCGGATTGCACACTGACACACACAGAAACACGCCCTGCCGCCCGGGCTGAACTTTGCGCGTCGATAAACGCGGCAGCTCACGGTCGGAAGCTTCACGCCGAGCAAAACAGGCGAGGGAAGGTGATCGCCTTTATCCGAGCACCTGCGTTCCGCTCCCTCCGCCCGGCCATCAGCCCAGCTCAGCCTCCCGCAGCTCGGGCGGCTGGCCCCGAAAGCGGCGAGGAGGAGCCGCTGAACAAGCGCGCTATCCCCTTCGCGAGGAGCGACCTGGGGGCAGGGCTCGACCCAGAGCAGCTCCCCGCTGGCGCGCCATTCCTCCCAGCTGTCAAAGCTCCTTTTTCCCCGCACTGCCGCCCAAAGCTCTCCGGTGGCCACTAGCAAGGCGAGCCACTTACTTTCCAAGCTCCTCAAAGAGCTGATACTCGTCGGTAAACCTGGTGCAGGTTGCGGTTGAAGCCATCCTTAGTCCGGCTCTTGCAGCCCCTGGCGCTTCCGAAGAAGAAGAGGACTGAGGGAAGGTGGATTCAGCAAAGGGGAGGCGGTCAGGGCGGAAGATGGGAGGGCAAAGGCGCTTCTTCTTCTCCTCCGCCTCCTCTTTTCCTCCGGGCGAGTCTCTCAGCCACGCTCCTTCTTGGCAGCTTCTTGAGACTTTCCGGCTGGCTTGTTTGTTTGGGAGGTGAGCCGGAGGGGAGGCAGGGTCGGGCTTCTCCGCGAACTTCCCTCTCTCGGCGCGCACGCTTCGGGGGTCTCTCCGGGTAGAGCTGGCTACGGAAACGCTCTCATCCAAAATGGAAACCCCAAGCCGCCGAGCAAAGCCTGCGCTTACGCGGGAGAAACAGCAGCCCTCAGGCTGATTTAATAGGGAACGGGACGAAGGAGAGGCGAGGGAGGATGACACCCTTGCCCCTGCTCGGGCAACCTCAGATGCCGCTCCTTTCTACCGGGAATCCCCCGAAGCGCTTCTTTCCCGAGGGCTGCCTCGCCAGCGGCGCCTCCGGGGGACTCTTGCGCTCGATTCAAGGCAAGGGAAGCCCGACCGGCAGCTTGTCCTTTCTGCTCGCTTTCCAGCAGCCGTCGCCTTGGCGGGTCTCTCTATACCACACCTCCCTCTAGCGACCGCTGGACGAGCCCCGTTGCCTGGCTGGCCAGAGCGGAGCAAAGCAGCCCCCGATCTTCCTGGCTTTTCCTTTAAGTCTCTACACCGACTGCGGAATGTAGTGCCCTACAGGTTTTGTGGCCAGTTCCATGAGCGCGCCCCTCCTTCCTTCCTTCCTTCCTTCTCTCCCTCCCTCCCTCACCGATTCTTTGATCCAAGACGTGTGAATGAACGAACGTGTAAAGCTTTCCAAGGAGATCGCCTGAAATGAAAGACTTGGCAACACGGGGGCGCTAAGAAAGAACGCCGGGTCACGGATCCTTTTGCATTGCTGCCTTTACCGCAGGGCTTCTGCTTTAGAACGACTTTCGGCCCAAATCGCCCAGCTTTAGAGGCAGCCGATCCCAAGCAGGATCCACTCCCAGGCTGTAGGAGGGGAAGCCTCCCCGCCCCGTCCCTCTCCTCCGCGTTCCATTTCTTGGCGTCACAATCGACGCGATACCTCGTGCGCTCCATCCGCCACTCTGCGTTTGGAAACAAAAAGGGAGGAGAGAAAGCAGAACGTCGCTTCTCCGATTCTCGCGAGACAGCCCAGCCTATTTTATGGAGGGGGCAGTTGGGTTTTGGGGAACGTTTAGGAAGGATGCTCGGCTGTGGGCTGTTTTGATTAGCGGGGCGCTGCGTTTTTGTTTTAAATTGGAAGTCTTAATTTTATTTTAAAAAAATAAGTTATGCATTATACTTTATAGGAATAAGAGCATGTCAGGATAAGCACACACTCGCCTCCCACTCGAAAGGATTCTGAGTCACGTCCTTAAAATTAGATTAGAAGGCTGTGATGCCGGTACTGTATGCTTTTAGACGCGACACTGTAAAAGCCTTCCGCATAATCCGTGCAAACGACGGTGCAGGTAATTGTGGGGGTACCTCGCTGAAGTCTATGAGAGTAAGCGACAAAGCGGGGTTTGAACAAAGATGGGATTCCAGTGCCCTTCCATATACACATACATGTGGTTTGGGCTTACACAATTATATATGGGTCAGCCTGATTTAAGATACTGTAGTGTAAGGCTTTTCAAAGTTGCAATGTCTGCTATTCGTTGAGGAAGCGGAGCTCAGTCAAATGTATTCTACATTTCAAAAATTCACACAGAAATTCCTCTGCCTCATCCGTTTGTTATTCTCTTTCCAACTGACGCTATCATTTTTTAATAAGGAATATGCTACTGGAGTTACTTAATTTGTGGGAATTGCCTTTGAGTGATTATGACTAACTGTGTAACTAATTAAGATTTTTTTAAAATCTATACTGGAAACCTGATTCCTCCTGTTTGTATCTCAGTGCAGCTTGCTGGTTTCATTCCTGTTGGGGTGTGTGCATATTTTCATGAATTATGGCAACTCTTCCTTTTGGCACTGAAGTCAAGTTTACTGGAGCCTTTCATTGAGACAAAGCAAGAAGCTCCTCTTAAAATTAAAAAATATCCTGTAGATTCTACATATAGGTTCAAATAAAGCCAATGACATCAAGCTTATGGTGTCAGGCTTATGGTATCAAAGGAAGGAACATTTTATTTACACAAACAGACAAAAAACCACCAATAAATATGAAATTATAAGAAAACTTCCATTTCAGTGCAGTATACTATAATGTTATTGTTTCACGCAGTGTGTCCGTTTTATACAGAATTTATTTTTAGAATAACTATAATGACAAAAAGAATGAGCATTTAATTATCAAATTATGAGACTAATCACCATCTTGATAAATTTTAGGACTTGTATGAGACTGCTCAATATTGTGGTAAATTATATGGATGCTTATAATTAAAATATAGGAAAATATATAGATTAAAAATATTGCAAAACATTAAGCTACTGTCTTATTTCTGTAGCCTTAAATGGCCATGACTTTTGAATAATTTGTGTTAATTGGCAAAGGATATTAAGACTTATTATAATTTTAATTTGCAAATGTTCTGTCTCTTCTTAGTCATTAGTATAATTGGTTACCAAAGGGAAGACACAATCCATAAATGTTTAGAAAGGAAAGCTTTGCCAAGAATGTTTTTTAGCAATGTCTACCAGACTAAGTTGATAGCATTTGCTAGATCTTATTTTTATTGTCAAATGGATCCAGCCAAATCCAGAGAGTTATTTAGAGAATTTAAATAAAGTATCTGATGACTAGGTATTGCAGTGTAAACAAAAACAAAAACCGTAGAAAAAATATAAATGAGAAATACTGTTACAAAAAATAAGCATGCATAAAATGTTTAAATAAAGTTTGCAATAGTGGCAAATATCTAGCTCCAGTGAAGAATGAGAGTGAAGGTTCCTTCTCTGAGCTTGTGGGTTGGTTTCCAAATGTTTTGTTACCAGGCTAGGTAACATCTTCAGCAGGGTTTAGGGGATGTCAGTGTCAGTACTCTTCTGTTTATAAGGGCTTCAGGTGTGGGTGGGGCAGTGAGGGTTTTGTGATAAGTCAGATGTGAGTCATCAGTGAGAGTCTTGTGATGGTGAGGTTACATCAGGTCAGGGTCATTGGGAGGTGAACTGGTGGGAGAGAAGGGCTTAAAATAAAGCCCCCCAAATCCTGAGAATTAAATTGCTTGCAATAATTGTGGTATGAAATGCCTTCTGCTAAGTCTCTACCATTCTCTGAGGCTGGTAGTAGAATATAATGTGAAGGAGATGAAATGCTTTGAAATATCTCAAAGAAACTTTGGCACTGGGTAAGTGAGAAGCATTTTAAATGCCTCCTCAGTGGCCTCAAATCTTTACTTCTCACTATAATCTAAAATGAAACAATATAATTGCAATCATAATTGAGTGTTGACTGCTAAAATGCAATGTGAAAATAACCCCAGTTCTCAGAATACTGCAATTAAAATATCCAGATTTTAAAATATGTATCCAGAACAAATCCTTCCAAAGTAAAGATTTATGTATTTTACGTGTTTTATGACTAAGCACCAACATTTTATTTCTAGGCTATATGCTTATGAAGTTCGACTTGTATCTAGAAATACAGCTGCAATCTTTAATTATCTAAGTTTGTATGGCCCTAAAAGTCATGTCAACATATAATAGATTTCAAGGGCACTAAATTACAGAAATTACCAGTTTGGTGGCATAGGTTTAAAATATCCTTTAACTTTTATTGCTTGTTATCTTTGGGATTAACAACTGTTTAATATTTATGGCACTATTTACAAATGATTTATGAATATTATCCTAAACTAGGTTTATGCCTTTTAGGAAGTTTCTTGTCCTTTATGTAGCATCATAAATTCTGGCATTGACTAACATGTCAAAGAAGTGGTGGCTGTATTAAATCATCATCATCGTTTTAATATTTCTGCATCTCCTGTACACTTCCAAGGGTAAATTTCTATAATTGGGAGTGTCAAATAGCAAATGCTAGTGTTCGTAAATATTTTTGTAACGTATTGAACATGATAACCATATGTTAAAAAAATGACTTTAGATCCAAAGTTATGTCCTTTAAAATAGGAAGTCATTAGATTTGATTGATTGTTCTAGCTTTATCAATTTCAGATAAGCAAGTGCTGTATGGCAGTGGCCATAGGTTGATTTTTTTTTTTTAGGATAATTTGCACCTGCTACAAATTTCGTGATTGTAACCTACATATCTGGTTGAAAATATTGGAGAAAAGGGTATAATTACTATATTAGTAGTACGTACAATCTTGGGGATTGATCAGAGTTTAGATCACCATTGACATCTCTCTGTAAAGCTAGGAATCTCATTTTCTGAAGTTAATCCAGGTTTGATAATCTCAAAATAAAATAAAACTAAGAATGATCTGTTTGGCATTGGATGTACTAGAGTATCATTTGTTAATGTGTATGAATAACTTTTCATTGGGAATCCAGGTAAACCCTAAAGGAGATTCCAGATTCAGGAGCTTGAAGAGGAAGACATCTCCTAACTAATAATGGCAATAGCACTTTATATACCCCTTCGTAGTGCTTTACAATGCTCTCTAAATGGTTTGCAGAATCAGCATATTGCCCCCAACAGTCTGGCTCCTCATTTTACTCACCTCAGAAGGGTGGAAGCCTGAGTCAGTCAAACTCCTGACAGTGGACAGAATTAGCCTAACATGTTGTATTCTAACTACTGCACCACCACAGCTCTTCCATAATTGGGTATGCCATAAGTTGACTTGTTCACAAATGCAAGCAACAGTTATATGGGGAGTCAGGTAGCAGTGGATAATGCCTGATGTTGTCATCATACAAACAATGCAAATTATGAGCTTTCATCAAACATGATATCATACAGAAATATAGCCTGATGTATGACATGATGTGGTATGTTAACATAATTGTGGCATTAGAGAGTTATGCGCAAATGCAATGGTATATCTGTTCCAGAACAGCAGGACAGAGGTGATATATGCCCCATTATATCTGTCTTTAGTCTAATGTTGACATTGCCACTGATCATAATAGTATCACAAGGCTTGATAAACAGTCATGAGTCTAGATTATGTGGATAGCATTCCTCCTAGAGACAGATTCTCCAGAAGGATTGCCAGGCATGCCAATGACACATTCTGAGCTATCCCCTCTTGAACAGTGGGCTATTGGGCATATATTACTGGACATAATCCAAACCTAAAGATGCCCATTTACCATCTAATTGCTGCAGGTAGCAGCAAGCTTTCTATCCAAATGGTCAAGATTACATGCAGCACTTATTGCCTGTTCCTTAAAATCCCTTGGTAGTGGTCAAGCTATAATAAATGGAGTTTATGAATATTAAATCAGTATGACTCATGATGTTTGCAAATAATCCCAGCAGCACTGTTTATAGCAGTGTCGTGTATATGCACTTGCTTGCCTTTTCTGTTTAAACATACCACAAAATTGTGCTTAGCCTTTTTTTTTTGTCCTTTTTTTCTTCTAATTACCAAAATGAAAAATGCCTATCACAAAGAAAGAAGCAAAATGCTTGTGATTTAATGCTTGATGTTAGGAAGGAAGGCTAGCTTTCTGTAGAATTTCATTCTACAGTATAGCTGTGATATATCCTAGGCATAATTAGACTGTTGACACAAGGATTTTAAAAAATCCTTATTTTTATATATAGTTGGCAGATAAGTTTAGGATCTCAATTTTAATTAATTATCTGTTTCATAGCAGTATAATAATTTTAGTTTTTTGGTAATGGTTAATATATGATCATAATTAGAGTTGGAAAGTTATTTGTAATTTTTCAACTAGTGTGGACACATAAGAAATCAATTTAAATACATTAATAAAACAGCACTTAATAAGTATAGGATTCCCAAAATAATGGAGTGAAATCAAGAAACAAGAACATACATTCCATTTCAGTTGTTAAATCCTATATTCATGTGACTGATTTCTGAATTCATTTATCTTTTGCATATATAATATTTCTTGCTTAATATTAGAGTCTCTTTTAACAATTAAGATATGTTTGCATGTACTCAACCCTGCAATTCTCAAGTTCTTAGGATGCTGCAGAATTCCCTCTGCGCATGAAGTCCTTAGCGTGATAGAAACCTCT